TTGGTAGCTGGCTGTGGTCAAGAAGTGACTACAACCTTGTCCCTTGTCAGCTCTACTGTATACCTGGGAATTCTTACAGCACATACAATACACTTGTAGCAACACTGTCTGCCAACCCTATTTACTGACCATATGCTTTACCAAACATGATACCCTTCTTCAGGTCCCTCCTGATAACATGTCCTAAGTATGAGAGGTGAAGTCTCACCATCCTTGCTTCTAAGGGGCATTCCAGCTGTACTTCCTCCAAGACAGATTTGTTTGTTCTCTTAGCAGTCCATGGTAGATTCAATATTCTTTGCTAACACCACAATTCAAATGCATCAATTCTTCTTTGGTCTTCCTTATTCATTGTCCAGCTTTCACATGCATGTGAGGCTATTGAAAAGGTAATGGCCTGGGCTAGGTGCACCTTAGACTTCAAAGTGACATCTTTGCTCTTCAACACTCTTTTGTAGCACATTTCCCAGTGCAATATGACTTCTGATTTCTTGACTGCTGCTTCCATGGGTGTTGATTGTGGGTCCAAGTAAAATGAAATCCTTGACAGTTTTAACCATTTCTCCATCTATCATTATACATACTATGTAGAATATTAACAAAAGTGTGAAGTCATATGGCATATCCCCCCTCTCTCCAGGTCCTCAATGTATAATATGTGTACATATATATATAATGTATAATATAAACATGGTTAAATACTCAACCTTTTTCAGGTGTATATTTCTTCACCTTCAGTATGATGAAGCATGAGGATGTAGAGGAGGTGTACGTGTACCTTATGCACAACGGCAACACAGTCTTCAGCATGTACAGGTGTGTGGTCTTTTTTGTTACAAGTTTCATTCATGCCGCCATTATTTGCTCAAAGGATGCCCAATGCCAGGGAAGTCTGTTGGGGTCAACAGGCCCTGACATGGCCTGTGTCCTTGATGAGACACCCTCTCCACACATATTCCGGTATGCAGCCAGATTAAAATTAATATTTACAAAGAAACGAATACGATAAACTTCAGCATCAGAAGTTTCATCACTGAGGAAAGGCTTTGAGCTAATAACTAACCATTTGGATTCTTTCCTTAACTCATTATTTTTTTTCCTTTTCCACCTTTCTTCTGCTCCTCCTTTAGCCTGAGGCGTAACCCTATTGATGGCCTTCTTCAGAGTCCTTCTTGGCTGGCAGTTGAGAAAGTGGAAATAACTCTCCCTACTTAGGTTGTGAAAGAGCTCTGGTGGTGCAGTTGTGCTCATGTGCTAAACTAAAGGTTGTTTGTTCCAACACACCTCTGCAGCTCTGCAGCAGAAAAGACCTGGTGATTACAGCCCAGGGAACCCTACGGGGAAGTTCTACCCTTTCCTATAGGGTCTCTATGAGTTGGAATTGACTCAATGGCACACAACAAAATCAACATTGAGGTTGTGTGGAGTCCCTGAGCGGTGCAAATGGTTAACATGCTCAGCTGCTAACGGAAAGGTATGTTCAGGTCCTCTCAGGTGCTTCAGAAGAAAGGGGCATCAATCTTCTTTCAAAAAATCAGCCATTGACTCTCCTGTGGAGCACAGTTCTACTCACAGATGGGAATGCCATGAGACAGAGCCAAATGAAAGGCAACCGGTTTATTTAGGTTGTGCAGCTGCTGATGCTGATACTTATCCTAGCAGACTGGCTCTAGAGCTCCCTGGGAGAAGGGGGAAATCCTTTAAAAGGAAGTATTGTAATTCAGTTTGATGTAAACTTTGGTTGTGCTTCAAGTCAAAATTGCTCCCATAATTAAGAGGATGGTGAGTGATCAATGAAAAACATTGTGGCCGTTCTCTTTTCCTTGTTATTTTCAATGACTTGTAAGGATTGCCAAATTTTCTTCTGGACCCTGTGCAGAAGGGGAGAACTTGTTTGAAATGCAACAAGAGAAGAAGATGAGAGGGTGAGAGTAGGTGGAACTGCTGCAACAGAGGGACCTGGAATATAGTGGCTCAGATACAATAGAATTTTATCTGTTGGTCAGTCTAGGGCAAGAGTTCCATGCTGGGGGAGGATGAGGATGGAGGAGGGGGTTGGGGAGATGTTTGGAGGGAGGTTACTAACTACATCTAGTTGTTTTTTTATTATTGTGATTTGAGTGAATGTTTGCAAAGCAAATTCATTTTCTATTCAACAGTTCATACACATTTTATTTCATAACATTGATTGCAATCCCTATGATTCCTCCCTGCAGTTACCTTTTCCCTGTGTCCCTCTTTCCTATGCATTCCTGCCCTCTGAACTATCTCCCTGTGCAAACACTGCCCTTCTGATCTCCCACGATTGATTATTCTAAGGAATGTACCTAAAAGACGAAACCAAACTCACTGCCATCAAGTCAATTCAACTCATAGCAACCCCCATTGGCTTTCTGATGCTGCGGTCTTTACCGAAGTACATTGCCTCAGCTAGTAGTTCAAACTACTGACCTTCTGGTTAGCAGCCAAAATATCTTATCCACTACACCATAAATGTTCACCTTAAATGCCTGTCTTTTGTTTGGCTGGAAGCCACAGGTCTAAGTTCAATTCCAGGGTCGAAGGGTGACTGGGTGCCATAGTCTCAGAGGTTTCACAAGTCTCAATCATACCAATAAGCTTAGTCTTTTTCATGATTTTGAGTTTTGTTCCACATTTTTCTCTCACTTTATCCAAGATCTCCCATTTTGATCCCTTTCCAAGTAGTTGACAGTGGTAGCTGGGCACTATCTAGTTCTGGTCTCATGGTCATGTAAGCTGACGTTCCCATGTTCCACTAGTCCCTTGGACTAATTGTTTCCATGTGTCTTTGGTTTTCTTCATTCTTCTTTGCTCTGAATGTTGTTGTTGTTGTTATTTGCCATCGAGTCAGCCCCGACTCATAGCGACCCCTCCTTGGGTTTCCGAGGCAGTTATCACTACGGAAGCAGGATTGCCCACCTTCCTTCCGAGGAGTGGCTGGTGGGTTTGAACCGCCAGCCTCCTGGTTAGCAGTCAAGTGCCTTAGGCACTATGCTACCAGAGCTCCTTGCTCTGAATGAGGAGAGGCCAATTGTTGTATCTTTGATGGCTGCCTGCAAGTTTTTAAGACCCCAATTGGTAGTCATCCAAGTAGGATGTAGACAATGTTCTGTGAAGTATGTTATACCAGTTGAGGTTGAGATACATCTAGATTTTAATTAATCCAGCTTGACAAAAGCAGCTGTGAATTCTACATTCTCTCTGGTCACTGTCATTACCAGAGTCAGATGGAGGAAAGAGCAAGAGCTTGTGGAAATTTTTATGTTCTAGACATTTCGTCTAGAGAGCTTAATCACATTGCCCCCCTCTTCTCCTCCCTTCAGTACAAGGGAAGCAAGAAAGTATAGAGACGGTCCTATAGAAGAATAAGTGGATTCCCGTGAGCAGCTAGCCTTCTCTTCCTACCAAATACCTAGGCAACCTTTCTTCCCACACTTAGGATGTATGTGTCTCCATCCTATCCCCATGAGAGTTAGCCTAAACCCAAGTTAATGCATCCAGCTCAAAGACCAGAATCTCTGGGAGAACAGTTGTTTCTGTCAAGTTGGAGTCCCTGGATGGTGCAAACAGTTACCACACTCTGCTGCTAACTGAAGTGTTGGGAGTTCAAGTCCACACAGTGGTACCTTGAAAGACAAGCCTGGTGATCTACATCCATAAAATCAACCATTGCAAACCCTATTAAACATGGTTCAACTCTGACACAATGGAGTCACCACGAGTCAGAATTGACTTGACAGCAACTGGGTGATTCTTTCAAGTCCTGTGGTTCTTTTGCTCTCTGGCCTCTGCCTTGTGGTTTCTTTGTCTGTTTTTCTTCATGACAACATTTAACAGGTGAGTAGACCCTCCTTAAGGTTCTCTAAAAGCTCATTTCCTGTTGATGCAAATTTGAGGGTATAAGAGCATTTACTTGAACATTCCGAAGTTTTTAAGGTCAGATTCAGGATTTTTGGCAGTTACTCAAAAACTTAGTAGACTTTTGCTTTATTTACCCCAACGACATGGATTTGCAAACGACACTCAGTGCTTTGATCTTGACAGATAGCTGTTCACCTTGTTTTCTTTGCTTCTTTGTCTGTGTTCTCCTCTCAATTTAATGGCTATCATTAGGCCTTCTGAAACAATAGATTTAAGTAGAAAGGCAACATTGATGATCTTATCTGCCCATGGCATACACTGTATCTATTTGATTGAGAAATCTTAATGGGAAACCAACATTGCCTCTGCTCCTTAAGGTTTAAAAGCCCTTGGCTTTTCCAAGGCTATTAGGACTCAGCTTTCTCAACTCTATTAATTTCTTTTGTTTCAAACCAGTTTCTTGTCTGAGCTCATTTTGTCTAGAAACAAAGAGCATTTTAGCTTTTTATTTTTTCCCCCAATTGTTTTTCCTTATGGTAAAGCTATAGGCTCAGTAGGCTTTAGGTCTGCCTTCCAAGTTAAGACACATTTAACTGAATATATTACCACAGCATAACCTGAATCAGCTTTCTTACTCTCCCACTGCCTTTCCAGCCCACAATATTTGTTTCCCCACTGTCACCTGCCTGACACTGAGCCAATGGCAGCTGCATGGCAGCACTCTTCCCTCCTTCAGTACCAAAATCTAGGGTAGTTAGACTAGGCTAAACTGCAGGGACATGAACACAGAATATAAGGATGTGAACCTAATGGAAATGCATGTCTTGCTCATGTAATAGTCCAAGGTGGATGTTCCAAGTTGAGGCAGGGGACAGCGGGTTCTCCTCTACCCAGTCATTCAGAACCCAGGCATCAACATATGTGTTCCAAGGATATTCCAGCCAGTGCTATTTCCATTCTAGACAGTCATAGTGGGAAAGGAACATGAAGGAGAATTTGTGAGAGTTTTACTGGCCAGGCATAGAAGTCAACCAAAAACCAAACCCACTGCTGTTGAGTTGATTCCAACTCACAGCGACCCTAAAAATTCCAAACTCCAAACTCAATGGCATCAAGTAGATTCCTACTCCTAGCAACCCCCTTTGGGTTTTCAAGGCTGTAAATCTTTACAGAAGCAGACTGCCTCCTCTTTCTTCTGCAGCGCAATGGTGGGTTCAAATACTGACCTTTTTGTTAGCAGCCAAATGCTTTAACCACCACACCATCAGAGCTCCTCATAGTGGCCCTGTAGGACAGAGTAAAGCTTCCCCACTTAGTTTCCAAGGCTGTAATCATTATGGAAGAAGAATGCCCCATCTTTCTCCCATGGACAGGCCCATGGGTTTGAACCACCTACCTTTTGGTTGTTAGTTGTTGTTGTTGTTGTTATGTGCCATCGAGTCGTCACCGACTCATAGCGACCCCTCCTTGGGTTTCCGAGGCAGTATCACTATGGAAGTAGGATTGCCCAACCTTCCTTCCAAGGAGTGGCTGGTGGATGTTAACCAAGTCTTAATCACTGTATCACCAGGGCTCCATAGGACCTAGATTTCTGCTCGCATACCATTTAGATAACTTAATTACCTATATGCAGGAGAGTCTGGGAAAGAAAAAGAGGACAGAAAGGGTGAAAAGCTTACTGTTGGCTGCAAAGACTAAGTAACTGCTGCCCTCTTTTTTTCTCTCCAGTTATGAAACAAAAGGGAAATCAGATACATCCAGCAACCATGCAGTGCTGAAGCTGGCCAAAGGGGACGAGGTTTGGCTGAGAATGGGTAATGGCGCTCTCCACGGGGACCACCAGCGTTTCTCCACCTTTGCAGGCTTTCTGCTCTTTGAAACTAAGTAAACACATGAATAAACCAGCTCCACTTTGGGGAAGTCTTGCAGCTGAGCTGGTTTTGTTATGATCTGAGAAATTGTAGTGTGGAGGGATCTACATTATGTATTAGAAGAAAAAAAGGAATTATTGGTTACATTTGCTAATCATGCTACAGGTACACCAATAATGTTGGATGACTCAGGGGCTCAGAAGAGTATAACCATAGCACAGTCTTCCCAAGTGACCTTAACTAATACACTCAGCACCTTTATCATGTTTTCTAAACACCTGAAGGAAACCTGTGATGTATATTAGAAACAATGGTCCCCATCAGAGAAGTTATTTGCCAAGAGTTTTGACTGCTCTGTTCTCTTTTGGGTACCAGCTTTCAGGAACCTCTGAAGCCTTGAGTTCATCATTCTTCATACCCTTTCAGAGAAGAGGGTCAGTGATTATGATGGAGTTGGAGGAAGACCAGGGCACTTGCCAACATCTAGGTACCAAAAAATTTACAACCTAGACTAAGAAATAACATGTTATACCAGTGGTTCAGTATTCATGAATAAAGTATAAATGTTTGTAAGTAAATGCAGATAGCTTTTAGATAGCAAAAGCATTCACAGTGCCCACAAAGATTTGTCTCCTCCTTTTACAAGGACACATCATAATTAAATCTTGTCTTCTAATCACTTATGATTTTAGAAATAGAATATTCTCGTGATCTACATTTAGATTTATCAGATTTAATTTATCAGATTGACTATTTTTTTTAAATTGTTATATTGTGGGAAAAAAACAAAATATTTGCTAATTCTACATTTGCTTTTTGTGTGTGGCAAATATATATGTAACAGACTATTTGCCATTTCAACATTCTTCACATGCACAATTCAGTGGTACTGGACACAGTCCTCATGCTGTACAACCATCACCACTGTCTGTTTCCAAATTAGTCTACCATCATTAACAGAAACTCAGTGGCCCCTGAACTAAGACTTCCCTTTTCCTCCTCCTTCCTACTCCTGGTAACCACTAATAAGCTTTGGTGTCTAGACATTGGTCTATTTCATATAATGGGTTCATACAATATTTGTCCTTTTGTGACTTTATTTCACTCAGCATGTGTTCAAGATTCATCCATGGTGGTGGTGGTGGTGGTCTTCTGTGCTATTAAGTCAGACATGACTCATAGCAACCCCTCCTTGGGTTTCTGAGGTGGTATCACTACAGAAGTAGATTGCCCAACGTTCCTTCCGAGGAGTGGCTGGTGGGTTTGAACCTCCAGCATCCATGGTGTAGCATGTATGAAAATTCCATTTTCTTGATGACTAATATTCCATTGTATGTATACACCACATTTTGTTTTTCCACTCATCTGTTGACGGACATTTAGGTTGTTTCTACCTTTTGGCTATTGTGAACGGTGCTGCAATGGACATTGGCATACAAGTTTCTGTTTGTGTCCCTGCTTTCAATTCCTTAGGGTATATATCTAGGATTGCAATTTCTGGATAATATAGTAGTTCTATGTTTAACTTTTTGAGGAACTGTTTTCCACGGCAGTTATACCATTTTGCATTTCTACCAGCAATGGATGAAGGTTCCAATTTCAGACTGACTCTTGGGCATTATACTTCTTAGATTGGAATAGATCCTTGTTAACTCTGGCCTACAGAACCAGCGAGGTCAGTTTAAGCCCATATAAAATGGTTAGTTATCACCTTCTTTCCAATCAATTTTGAAGTTATCCAACTGACCTTGATTTTCATACACACTGACATGCCATGTTGAAGATGCTGTAAACGAAACCAAGTACAGTCAAATAGACACAAAGTATAAAGATACTCCATTTAAGAGACACACAGAGATATCTCCTAGCCTTCTAGTTAAGCAAATTATATAACTTCTTTGATTATCATATAATCAATATTCACAGAGCAGCTGTTAAGTACCAAACATTGTAGGAGGTGCCATTTGACTTTTGTCTCTCCCCTCCTTCAAAAAAAAAAAAAAAAAAAAACTTATCCTCAAAGGTTTAAGATTTGCCTCCAAAATTATACTCATAAAAGTGTGCTCTAAATTCTGAAGACAGTTCAGTTCCCAGCAAGAGGTTCTTAGTTTATTTTAGACAAAGAAAGCATCATTGGAAAATGTGTCTGCCCTGATACTGAATTACATTTAAAATGCACTGGAGAGCTGCCTATCTGAAAAATATTATGGAAGTAATGAGCCCATAATTTATGTTTTATGACAATAAGAATCCACATAGACTTCCAAACCGTGGGCTTACTTGTACTGACTTTCCCTACAACTAGAGGCAGAGAGAACTAATGAGGGCTGCCATGTTAGCTAACTTAGTGCTTTCAGGCTCCTTTCAGGCTTTGGCCCCTTTCCCTTGATCTACAAATATTGTAAATCTTTTTTTGAATCCACATGCAACACTATTTTAAGGTAAATGGCTATCAGCTATAATGTGCTTGACTTGTAATATTGTTGTGGTTTTGTATGTGTTTTTCCACCTGGGGCTTTGGGTGTGTGGCATTATTATTCCCAAATGTCCTAAGTATTTCATAGAAATATATTGCCAGTACATATTTGAATATTACATGTTGCCCAAAAAGGAATTTCATGTCCAAAGACCATACATTGTTAATAAAGTACCTGAGAGAAAGATTTTGGCATGCTGTTAACATAATGCTGTGGCAAGAAAAATGTAGTAAGCCTTTGGTGCATAGTGACTGGGTCTTAAAAGCTTGTGAGCAGCCATTTAAGGTGCAACTATTGGTCCCTCCTCATCTGGAGCAAAGAAGTGTGAAGAAGATCAAAGATGCATGGGAACAATTAATTCAAAGGACTAGAGGGCCACGTGAACCCCAGTCTCTACAACCCTGAGACCAGAAGAACTCGTTGGTGCCTGTTTACCACTGCCAACAAGAGGTGGTCCTGGATAGAATGGGAGAAAAACATGGACCAAAACTCAAAATAATAATAATAATAATAATAATAATAATAATAAGATCAGGCTTACTGGTCTGATAGGGACTGGAGGAACCCCTGAGATTATGGCCCTTAGTCACTCTTCAAGCCTAGAACTGAACTCACCCCAAGGCTCCACTTGCAGCCAAACAATAGACAGGTAATGACACAAACAGTTCCACAAGGGAAGTATGGACTCCTGAGAACAATCAACCATAACCGCTCAAAAGGGCAGTGTTTGTCCAGGAATAAAGCTCAGAAGGCAAATGGATAGCAAGGAAGGCCAATGGGAAATGGTAACCACAGGCAGGAAGTGGGAAGAGTGCTGTTACATTGTGGGGATTGCAATCAATGTCACGAAATGTGTATGAACTGTTGAATGGAAAACCAATATGCTCTGTAAACTTCCACCCAAATCACAATAAAAAGTTAAAAAAACAAAAATGTAATAAGCAATACATGGAAAAAAAACACTACCTTTGGTAAATGTACTGTTTTTAAATGTTCTTAATAAAATTTAATAATCATAAATTTGTAAGTCACTACAGTTTGTTAACATGAAGTTAAAATGCTTCCATGCACACTATGTGACATGGGCACAGGGCAGGGTCACCTGCCTTGTAAAAAGCTCTGCTTTTCAGTTACTGCATTATTATTACTTCAACTCTTCGAGTCTTTAGGCCATTGCTGTTTAGAGGGCTCTCTATAAAACCTGAATATCTCTGAGAAGAAGGGGTATCTGTCAGACTCCTGAAGTCTTTGTATGCTGTTGTCTAAATTCCAGCTTTCATCTTAGTAGAGAAGCCCAAGGTTTGGGTGCAGGCAGGTGGAAAGCATTTTGGCTTTGCCAATAAGTGTGAAGAAATGTAATTAGCCAAGGAAATGGGAGGGCCAAGATAAATATCATACTTTCACCATTATATCCATAAGAATTAAGCAACAGAACACTGAGCTCATCAGTTTTCTGAAAACTGTGCTAAAAAGGAGACCATAGGTCATTGTCAGGGAAAATTTATATGGATCATCTAAGCAACAAGCTTTTTAGTACTAAACCCAAAATGAAGGCCACCCCCAATCGAAGCAGGTGGTATCTGCTTGCTACTGGAATCCAATAGATTGCAGACCTGGCTCATGAAATGATGAGTTGGGCGATTTTTCCACTGTAGAAAGAATTCCACATTGGACTTTTAGACAACAAAGAAATTATGCTGAAAGAATTCTATTTAGCACGTCATGAATAAAAGCTAAGATTTAAAATATTCAAACAGAGGATGGAATACGCAGCATGTATTCGTTATCTAAAGGAGCCTTGGAGCTACAGCGGTTTTAATGCAAGGCTGCTAACCAAAAGGTCAGCAATCTGAACCCACCAGTTGCTCTTCAGGTGAAAGATGTGACCGACTGCTGCTAAAAACCCTGTGGAGCAGTCCTACTCTGTCCTACAGGGTCACTTGTTATGAGTGGGTTTCAACTTGACTGCAATGGGTTTGGTTTGGTTAATTAGTTATCTAGGGGAACCTGGGTGGCACAAAGTTTAAGCACTCAGCTGCTCACTGAAAGGTTGATGGTTTGAACCTACACAGAGGCGCCTTGGCAGAAAGACCTAGTGCTCTGTTCTCATGAAGATTACAGTTTAGGGAACTCTAGGGGCTGCTCTACGCTGCCACATGGGGTCAACTCAACAGCACCCATCAGCAACAACGTTAGTTGTCCAGGTGATACAAGAAGGGTAAATGCACTTGGTTGCTAATGGAAAGAGTTGGAAGCTCGAGTCCATTCAGAAGTGCCTTGGAAGAGGAGTCTGGTATCTACTTCCAAACAAGCAGTTACTGAAAACTCTATGAAGCACAGCTCGACTCTGGCACACACAGTCAGGACTGACTCCACGGCAACCATTTGTTGTTCTTTTTTTTTCAATTTTTAGGTCCAATATTATACGGATGGTGCTGTCCATCATATCCAAAGGTACATAATGTCATATCTTTTTGCAATATTAAAATTGATCAGTGGGTTCACAGAGTCTTAGCCAGATGTATAACATTCCCCATTAC